GCTATCTATTTGGCGAAAAACCAAGTTTATCATGTGCGCAAAAAGCACATCGATGTCAGATTCCACTTCGTTCGTGATGTCTTGGATGATAAAGACGTCATATTATAGAGAAGATTCACACAAAGGACAATCCTGCGGATATGTTGACCAAATTTGTTTCAGGTGTCAAGTTTGGTCATTGTTTGGAGTTTTTGAACATTCTTCGGTGTTGAGGCCTTTGGAGGCCATTTGGGTGAACTACGTAAGGCTTGATTTCATGGGCAAGAGGATACGTAGGCAGTCTTTATGATGCAGCCGGTTTGGATTAGTTAATTTTGATAGGGGTGGGGTTGTTTGGACTCTCGTTCGGTTCCCGACTCATTGTGGATTGAGTCCGTTGTCGTGAATTAACTTCACGGCGTACTGGACGCGGCTTTGGTGTCGGCTCAGTTTTGGGAAAACTTCGCTGAGGTGGAGAATTGTGGATGCAGCTTTCAGTTTTCGGGTGAAGTTGCATGATGGCCCACCCGAAGACATTGAGCTGGAGGCAAATGTGAACAGTTTGCGTGATAGCCTACCCGCTTACATTGTGCTGCTATATATTCCTCTCCCTCAAGTGGATAGGGTTTTGTGCACGGAGGTTTGTTGTTAATTACGGCTGATTTGTGTGCAAAATTGCTAGGGGGAAAAGAAAAACGCAGAGAAGAAAGCGTCTATACGAGTGCAAACTGAGTGCGTACTTTGGCAGCGCGCAGGCAGGGAGAAAAACCTAGTGCCGACTTTGAGAGTTTGTGCATCCTTTTGAGAGAGAAATTGCGAGAGGTTTGAGAGATTATTTTGAGGGTTTAGTTGTGAGATTATAAACCCTAATTGTATTCTCTTCCTCTAATAGTAGATCTCCCCCCTCCTTTTCCTGTGGACGTAGGCTATTTGTCGAACCACGTAAAATAATTTATCTTGCTGTGATTTGTAATAGCTTGTAGGTTCCCTCGACAAGTCAGTCCTAGAACTGATGAGAGGAAGAGCAGATATCTCACTTTGTTAAGATATTTTTCTTTCGGTTCTTGTTTCCTTTGTGAAACTAGAATTTCGTTATGATCTAATCTCTTGTTGTGTTGTCGAAGTGCTGCCGAAATTTTCACTGCGCACAACATAAATGTCAAGGATGAATAGTTTATTCGTGGACAATAGAAGAGAGAGGAGGTTTCGAAAGATAAGCGGTGTTACATTTACCAAGAGCTCTAGTAGAAAAATGTGCATCCTAGACGGAAAAATCCGTCTAGGTTGCTTTGATTTCCATCTATGTTGATCAATCTAAGTGAAAATCCATCTAGAAAAGTTTGTCTAGATTGAAACAAATTAGACGAAAATCCGTCTAGCTTGCTCAAACTAGACGAAAAGAAACATAGACGGATGATGAAAATCCATTTCAGTAAAAACTTATATTATCCGAATATTTACAACAGATACACTAGAAATACCAAGTCCATCCATAATATAAGATGAATAACATATAGTACATGAGATGAATAAAAGTAGAGGACTATTACAAATAAAAAATTGTTCATTGCATTAAAAATAAAAAAACCTCACATCTCGTCGTCGTCAGTAGCGGCTCTATTCCTTGTACAAAAACCGGTGTTACTCCCTCTAATGTCTCCAGTGTGAAGGTCCAATTAATTACATTTTAGAATTACATGAAGTTTAATAATATATTAATCATAAATAATTTTTTAATATACTAGTCCCTTAAAATTTCAATTTAGCATTAGTTTTTTAGGATTTTCACTTTTATAAAAATAATTTGCAACTGACATTTTTTTGGACTTCCTTAGTATGTGAGGGAAAATAAGATACATGTCTGCTGCTCTGCCCAATGTCAGCATTATCGGCGCTCGAGCTTATGAGAGGTATGATATCACAAAACAAATCAGAGGGAATCACACCATCCAAATAATTTATAATGTAGGACATGACCTCGTCCATCGTGCGGGCTCTCAACACAACACTACTCATCTCCTTAATCACCTAAACGTGCAGGTTTGAGTCAATCATTCCACTCAAATACATTGAAACATGTAAACACTAGTAGATATATGACCAAACTAGACGGAACAACCTAAATAGAATTTTTTTTTTTGTCTAGGTTGATGCAAATTGGACGGAATAAATTCCGTCTAGATTGTTCCGTCTAGATTGAAACATGCACACCTTTTCTCTCTATGATCAGATCAATCTAATCGACAGCGTCCCCAAGGATCAGCTCCATTTCCAAGGTTACCTCTCATCTTTTACATGGAAAAAGTTTTTTTTTTCATGGAAAGTTTCTTTACCATGAATATTGACAATGGAGATTCAAATTCTTGCTGAGTTTTCTATTCATTGCTTCAAAGTTAACAAAAAATATTAAAGTAGTCTCATGAATTACATGATTGCATCATTTAGGTCTTTGAAGGAGTATTCCACCACAAATAGATGGACTGATGGAGTTTAATTCTCCATCAAGTGGCCTCTATTGAAGTTTAGAAAAGTATAAAATTGAGCTTATGCAATTTCACTTCGACATATTGTTAGAAATATAATTACATGCATTTGCATTTCTATGAACTATTTTTTAAACTTATTTATTATTTCAATTAAATTGTTATTTAGTTTAATTAATTTGTCTAATAAAGTTAATTTTAGTTTAATATTGTAGGTGTGATTATGTAAGTTTGTCAATTAAATAGTTATTTTAGTTTAAGGATGACCTACGGGCGTGCCAAGACCTGACTACTTTGAATATCCGGAATGATTTGCAAGCTCAAGATGGTTGGCCTTAAAAAATTAAAGTTGCCTCCGTCTCGTGTTACAATGTCAAATGAGTAGATGCATCGATTTTGTGAAATTCTCAAATCGGTAAAATCGGCGGATGGTTACTCTGCTAACATTTTAAATAATGTCCAAATGCAAGAGAGAAAACTCTTAGGTTTGAAGACCCATTATTATCATATTCTTCTTCATCAATTGCTCCCAGTTACAATCCATAACAATATGGAAAAAGAAGCGTTGAAGATTATTATTGAGTATTGTGGATTCTTTAGAAAATTATGTTCTAAAGTCATAGATGTAGATTAATTTAAAAAACTTGAAGGTGAGGTTCGAGTTACTCTATGCAATATAAAAGTAAATTCCCTCCTTTATTTTTTACAATTATGGTCCATCTTACCCAATGTAAAACCCTGATAATTTTAATATTATGTGATAAATAAAAATAAATATGTTATATAGTGATAAATAATATATTTTGACGTTTGTGTATGCTAGGAATTGATTTGAGATCGATTCAATATATATGTGTGGATATATGAGTGCAAATGCACAAAACATGCACAAAGAAGAAATCTGGAAAATAATGACTAGATTTGAGTTTATATGATTTTCACACTGATACAGACCAAAGTTGTAGATCCTTTCAATAGCTTTCCAACAAATCTTAAATCACCTCATTTTGAGCTCGTATGAGAAAGTTACAGCCAAAATACTATGTATAGATTTCAGAAGTTTCAGTGTTTACAATGTAGTCGATTACAAAGCTTAGTAGTCGATTATCGAGAGTTTTCGAGTTACTCTGTGCTTAATTATCTTATATTGTGCATACAGCCCAGATCTGACATTTGGATTAACCAGACCACATCATGACAACAAGTTAACTTGGTCAACTAGGTACATACTTTGTCTCGCTGAAGTGTGGAACATCTTCACATAGCACACAACTCGGTCATGACTCATAGACCTAACCTAAAAGTTAGAATAGAGCAGCAAACGTCTATAATAGCTAAACTCATCAGTTCAATTATTATGCCTACACCCCAACTCGGTCTAGTTTTTGGCGGTCAGTTTAATTGAAGATAATTGATTTGGTCATATCATATCCTCCATATACCATGTGTAGAGATATTTATTGGATACTCAATCTCTCTTGTTGACAACTTCCATAACATACCAAATCTGCACGTACATCGGATGTGCCATCCTATGCCAACGACACGTGGATCTAGTTGCAAACCAAGTAACTACTATCACAACCTCAGCCATTAGGATAGTGACGCATGTAGATGTTGGTTTGTCCTACGCAATCGTTTTATAAACACATTACCTAGATCTGGTAAACATGAGTCACGAAAAATGTAATGCAAGGCTCAGTACAACTGACCTTCAATTCTTGATCCTTCTTTTCTTAAACACTAATATATATATTTACCTACTGTTTTGACTTCTCATTTATGTCATCAAAGGAGATCACTGGGCCTTCATCCTCAAGTCTATTCTTATGAACTCAATCCTATTAGTTGATTCTCTGCATCGACATCTTGTCTCTCAATTATAGTTTAATGTTTTTATAAATATTTTATAATATAGTCAATCTTTTTCTTGTAAAAGTTGGCCTATGCATTTTTTTAGCCGCCAGGCTTGAATTTCAAGCTTAGTTGTTAGGCTTACCATTATCAGTACCAGAAAATTTTCCTAGGAAGCTCCAATATCTCTTACAGGAATCAAATTTCTACATTCAATATTTTAAGATATTAATGTATATATGGTCAATATTTTGATTAGTTCTTTGTTCTTTCCTCTAGAATGAGGTTTTTGCTTTTCACTTTCGAGAAACAGGCTTTCCTGTAGTTCAATCAATTAAAAATAACTGGACTCATGAAGATCATAATCATTCACTAATTGGCATACGGATATTATTATGGAAAGTCTATACCGTCAAAACTATAGCAAAGAAGATCAAGACCAGGTAAAAATTGGCTAAAAGAAGTAACGTAGCTATATGTTCACAAAAAAGGAAGAAAGGTCGGGTAGAATGCCAACTAGAAAGCACATTAAAAAGAAGAAGAGGTAACGGAACGTACGCAAAAAAGGAATTAAAATTCAGAGGTAGAATGCTAAAATTCTTAATATATCTACTTCGAAAGAACACAAGAATGCAGACTAAGCAAAGCACAGGCAACTTTTTATAAGCAAATAGAGGACCTTAACCCATTTATTATATCCGTAAATAAACGGAATAAAAAAAGTACAAACTTATACTCTTTCGCCAAGATACATGATCCAAATCTCTACAAAGCTTGGTTTTACTATAAATGATTTTATTGCATATATTGCTTGTTAATTTGTCCGTTGAAAAGAGCATGCTCCTTTCACGTTTACAACACGTAAATATCGAGCTCTATAAGAAGAGTACCCGACGGTGAACTAAGTTTTTTTCCAACAATATAACCACCAGCGAGCCGAAACTGTCCAGTCCCTCCAATAATACTCCACTCCCTTGTCTCCGAAGCAAGCACAAACCTTCCATACACGGATAAACTACTCCCACTATACTTCCCCTCTACAAACACAAAATTGGCGGTGAAAAGAAATGCGAGCTCCTCTTGTGACACTGCAGACGCTAGGCCTTGAGCTCGTCCGATGAGCTTCGAAGTAGTATCTGAACCTTCTCTTAGTTCATCGTCGAGAGCAATTATGCCTCCGAATCCAGAATCAGTCGAGTTCAGGGGTGCGATGACCTTGGTGGTTTTGTTTGCACCGACGTTGATTTCATGGAAGTACAGGTGTAGGTGAGTTGCATTTTGGGGAGGTGGAGATTGAGATGATAAGGGAAGGATTGTGGATAAAGTGATGAGGAGGAGCAGGAGGATGTTTAGAGAAGAGGCCATTGGAATTATTGGATGTAAAGAAGGAGAAGGGGAGAAGTTGAGAGATTTATAGAGGGAGGTGGTCAAATTCGTCGGCATATGGATTAAAGGCATATGACCTATGTATGGTCAATTAGTTTGGTGGAATGTCAAAGAGTTGTCAAGGGACTTGGTTGAAATCTTTTTTTCCAACTTGTATATCTTTGTTTTGTATCTCCCCTTCTCAAAGGATGACCTTTAAACCTCTGTTTACTTTTCATCTTTGAAGAATTTGTAATGTCTTGATGTAGAATGTGCTGTGGATGCATTATGGGAGAAAGTGAATTGTCAGAAGTCCATACAGAGGCCTGGCAAAGGAAATACTTGCAACGAAGGCCTGGCAAAGGAAATACTTGCAACGAAGAACATGTGTATCTCCCAAACTATTGTCGGAATTGGATAAATAATGCATGAAAATTGCGTATTTTTTCAAAACTCCATGAATTCATCTGTCATGCATCCTAAAGTATTCTCTTTATGACCTTTGCTACAAAAAGCATTAGGGAAAGGTTTGTATAAAAAATAAGATTATGGTCAAGGAGAGTGGCTCGACTAATTCTTCAAGCACTCGCAACTGCTAACATAATTTAAGGTAAGCAATGCTTTTCAAATATATCTTGAGTCTACGAAGTTAAGGATATGTCCTAGAAAACAACAAGTATAGATTGTCACGACTAAATTACAAAAAATACCGTTATATATCCAGAGAAGTGTTTAAACATCGTTCGGCGGATGCTCAATAGGTATCTTAATTACTTCGCATGCCCAATAAACTACTTGAAAAAAAGTAGCTAAATATTCACTATCTAGGTAGGTACAGCCATATTATATTAGCGCATTTGTTATTACGCTCTAATCCTACATAATCTAATCATTGGTTATTATCAAGAGATAGACGCCCCAAATAACTGGGTGGATAATATCTTATCTTATAGGTAAGATATACTCATAATCCTAGTAAGTGTCGGATCTTATCTCTAAGCCCCTTATATATAGATATAGGATTTTTCATGATGGATGAGAAAGAAAAAATATATAGATACATACAACAGCTGTAATCTCCTCCTCCGATCATGTCCGTGCTTTATACGGTGGTTGCCGGGAGATATGTTGGGTTTCTCGCCAGTTGCACGGTATGGTTACCCTCTAACCGTTGATCAAGAAAGGCATCACGATCCTACAGAAAAAAAAACCATATGGTAAACCCTAAACTTGTTTATGATCCTAGAAAGCATGCTAATGAAGAATTACAGGAAACAGGAAGGAACCAGCCAGACAGACTGGCGGGGGGGCCCCGATCCCTAACCACCAAACCCGAGGTTCTAGTACAGGAACAGAAATAAAAGAAATACAACAAATATCAGAGTATCACTATAGTACCATAACATAGCCTACATGAGTATCTTGTTATTACTTACACTACAAAAAAAGTGAGCATTTGGGGCAATCAATTAAGAGCAGAAATTGTGATTTTCCCCTATGAATTATGAATTAGGTGCGGATGTTGAATATGTGCCTATTACTATTATTTGGGGCGGTTCCTAATACCCCTATAAGTTTGGCGGGAATTAAAAATAATAAAGGTGCCAACTTAAATAATTTTGACTAAATACGACCCGCGGTCGACCGCTAACGTGCACGCAGGCCTACTAGGTTTCGGAGATCACGACAAAAAAAAGTGAGCATTTGGGGCAATCAATTAGGGGCAGAAATAGTGATTTGCCCCTATTAATTATAAATTAGGTGCGGATGTTGAATATGTGCCTATTACTATTATTTGGGGCGGTTCATAATACCGCTATAAGTTTGGCGGGAATTAAAAATAATAAAGGTGCCAACTTAAATAATTTTGACTAAATAGAGGCACATATATCTGCCCCTAATGTTTTCTAATCCCAAAAAAATACCCGCGCCACTTCTAATCTCCCAAAAAAAACCCGCGCCACTTCTAATCTCCCAAAAAAAAACCGTGCCTATTATCCAACTACTTCCGCCCCTATTGTTATAACAATTAGGGTAAATATTTTCTAAACCCTGATGTCGGCTATTTCTCCCCCCAAACAA